TACCTGAAACCTGTCTATGATTGTTAAGGGTCGGTCGTTAAGGAGGTATTGTTCACTGGCTGGAGTGGGTAGGTGCTTTGTTCCTTTGTGATATGGTGGGGGGTTTGGTGATATCTGGAAGGGATCATCTCTATAACTGAATTGTAAGTTTTTGGAAGCTGAAATCTGAGTCCACCACCTCTGTTTAATGTTGGTTTTTCTCTCTTAACATTTTGAACTTTTACGGAATGACTATGACCTGGATGACTGAGAATCTTCATCAGCATAATGTTTAAAAAAGCATTTTTACATTTTAAGTGTCTCCCCCTGCCACGTCCTCACATCATTACATCATAAACATGTTTTTAAAAGAGGAGACTTCATTGGCTCCAACCATATCAGGATATAACAGAGTTTATGGATCAAGGACAATGCTGCCATTCCATCCCCAGATCTTTGTTATGTAAATAATGAAGATAACTTTATCCTGAAAGAAGACCTATCCTATTTAGATAGACTGCTTGGAAAAACATTAGCCTTGACATGTAACAGGCAGGTAATCCTAAGGTTTAACAAGCACTTACATGAATAATACAAATAATGCATAGGCGTAAAAACCTGCTGCACAAGTACAGTGAATGGATTAATACATATTTAGTAAACTTTTGTTAATGAGCAAAAACAAAAAGCAGCACAAAAGTTTTTTGAACATTTTCTATGATTTCAGAAAGGTGGGGGGAATGACAGAGCTTTGGTGACCTCTGAAAGTTTTTCATTATCTTTAGGATAATATGGGCACAATAAAACTGGCCCAAATGTTTGGCACCAATTTTTTTTTTTATTGTTAGGTTATAAAATGCTGAAAGTTAATTAAATTAGAATGTTATCCAATAGAACTTCATGAATAACCAGAGCATTTTTCTTCCATTGAACTAAAATACTAGCGCACTCAGGGAAGTCATTTTGAATAGGGGGTGCTGTGAACATTTTTTGAAAATTTTTTTTTTAGACAAAAGAGCTATGAACCTACAGGCCTATTTCAAATACAATTAATAAAAATATATAAATAGATTGAGATTCACTACTTTATTGTCATATACACTTCAGTGTACGCAACTGGGGTCTGTAACAGACAGACATCATTAATCACATTAATCATCTGATCTCAGGCCAGTATATGCCCTTTCAATTAAACGGCCCAATAAAAGAAATTTCAGTAGCTTTAAGCCAATTTTGAAAAGCTGGCCACCACAAAGGGGTTGTCTTTCTTACATTTGTCTCTAGGTATGACTTTTTTATGACTGCTTTCAGACAAATGAAACACAAAATATGATGAGTCTCTTCCACATAATGCAGCCAGTGCCATATGGCAAACCAAGCCTGTGCCACAGAACCTGAGGAAGTTTCATCACCACAACTGGAAATTGGATGTTGGCTGAAGAGCTTGTCCAACCCAATCACACTAAATTGGGTTATGGGTGCTGGGGCTGAGCCTTCCGGTGCAACTGCCATTAGAGGCGGGCTCTGGCTGCTCTCCATTGACATGGTTGCGGTACTATGATCGTGGTTTTCCCAAAAAATCCAAAATGCGTTTCTATCATTAGACTATGTAAATAGTCTGCTGCCTCAAGCGTGATATCTCTGTGTCACTAGCTTGCTTGATGTTGCCATGACAACATATCTTTCGTGAACTTGTGTTGATTAGGCCTCAAAATAATTAAAATCCAAATACACTTAATAGTAAAATAAAGTCACAAGCTTTTCCAAAAATATTCTTAACAAATTTATAAATTATGCAAAGTATTTCTAATAGAATTTTTAAAAGTCTCCCTCTTGCCACTGGGGGTGCTGCAGCAGCCCCAGCACACTCATTTATTCAGAAAGGTGTGATCAGAGAGTGATTGAGTGAAAAACACTGGACTTATATGTTAAACTGATTTAGTTAGTACTGTCAATGGAAAAAAACAATTGTCTAAAACTGTAGGAAAAAGAAGGAAAAAAGACATTTAAACACTAAGATTAAGGAATGACCAAGATTGTAGTTATTTAATCAGTTTTGCTATTTCTTTATTGTGCATCTAAAACCTCTTGTCGACCTTTTAAGGCAATAAAAGAAACCTATATGTGGTACTTTTCCAACCAGACATATATCAGATTGTACCCCGTTGGGGACATTTATATAGTGTCTTCAATGTAACTTATACATATAGTTTACCTTCCAACTAAAGACTCATATGGGTTCTAGAAGATTCACCGCTAACTATGTTGTACGTTTTCAGTTTAATTTGTTTTATATCCAGCTTTTCCCAGTAGAAAAGGAAGCATCATCTATGGGAAAAATTATCCAATTCGTACTGTCATTTGGGAAATCTGAAAACAACTAAATGTCAGTTTATGTTGGAAACCTTTACATCTGCTCACACTGGCCCTGGGGAGAATTATCCATGGTTTTTTTTTTTCCAAAGAAACCCTGGCAATTAAATATCCAATTATATCCACCATGCAATATTTCTACTCTACATAAACGTTACTACAATTCCCAGTTGCTATGAAGGAAGAGTTATGGTACTCAGTACATAATCGCTTTGATAACTTTAAGTTAAGGCTGATACTAACTCTCTCCCTAAATTTAAAAATCCTCACAACTTTTTGTACACATATTGTTAGCAGCAATGTTTTCCCTATGTTTTCTTATAAAAGTACAGAAAGTGGTGTGCTGTGATTTGATAGACCCATGAAGACTTCGTAGGAGTTCTGCACTTGAGTTCTTGTGACGTATGAAATGTACGGATCAGTGAGAGCTTTGTTCTTGTACTTTCCATCCTGATAAAAGAAAAAAGGTTATTTGTTCCTTTGGAGTGTTGGCCTTCAAAGGCCATTTTGTATCAACATTTACAACCAACGATCTGAATCACTTTCCTCAGTCCACTGAAGTTTTACTGGATGAACATTTTATTAGGCGATAATAGATGTAACCCAGCAGATGAAAACGGCAAGGTTTTCTGGTTTGATAATAGTCTGTAATATTGCATGAGAGCAAAATTAGTTCAAATGGGTATATTATGCACATATAGTGTTACATTAAATCATATACGGCCGAATTAAATCCTAAATGAGATTAAGAGGAATTCGTGACTGGGCGACGCAGAGTGGCACCCCTCTGCTAATCAAGGGATGGGTTAAATGCAAAGGTCAAATTTCACTGGAATCTTCAAAGTTGTAAAGACAGTTAGATATTATGTCATGATCTTGCTACTAATGTCTGGTCGACCATCATTTCTCATTTACATAGATCATTTACTTTCATCTGAAAAGGGAACTTTGAACCGCTTTGTCCTTTCTCTCCTTTCATTAGGATGGACACGGCTGACCTCCTTCAGAAATGGCTTGACACAAGGAATGTGTTCTGAATATGTCTGTCATGGCTGCTTCTGCACCATTTTCAGTTCAGTCCTTTCCTTCCCCTCAGCTTTTAACAAATTTGGTTTATAACTGGTAAATGGCCTGTACTTATGTAGCGCTTTTTTAAGTCGGAAGACTTGACCAAAGCTCTTTACTGTGACAGTCTCGGCTCTGTTATTGGTCTGATCCACCATTCATCACACCTGCTCCACTGCAATCAGCCCTTACTGTTTCCACCTGTTTTCACCTCATATAAACCCTTTGCAGCTCAGCTGCCAGTGCCAGATTGTCTCTAGCCACTCGCATGAGCATTCCAGCATTTCCCCTTGTGATTGCCTGTCTGTTTCCTGACCTGTTTCTGTCCTTGGACCTGCCTACCAGGCTGACCCAGTGAAGCCTTTTGTCAATCTGACCCTGCCTGCTTCTGAGTACCGGATTTTCCCCCTAACCCTTGTGAAGTCTCTGAGCCTCCCTGTTAACAGATCTGGACTGGACCTGGACCCCCTCTCTGGAAAAACCCTACCAGTACTGCCGCTGGAATTCAGTCTCTATGTGCACGGATCCCGGACCTCTCTGGATAACGCCCCTGGATTACCCTGAATGGAGTGCCTGCCTGCGTATTGCCTGCACAAACAGTAATCCCCCCCAAAGCCCCGGACCAAGTCGGTTCCCCAGACTCGGAAGCCCCGCAATCAGGTTAGTGATACAGCTTCTCTCAGTCTAGCCCGTAACCATCAGCTGATCACTAACCTTTCGTCTCTGCCACAGGAGGTTTCCTGCTTTGGAGCGAGCAGCGCGCCCCCGAACCCCCGCTTTAAGTAATTTTTTTAATAAAGCTTGTTTCAAACGTCACTGACCTGTGCTGGTTTGAATTCTGGGTCCAGTCCAAGCCCGTTACATCTACACTACATTCAGTCATTCATCCATTCACTCACACACTGATGGTGGCAAGCTACACTGTAGCCACAGCTGCCCTGGGGCACACTGACAGAAGCAAGGCTGCCGTACACTGGCGCCACCGGTCTTTTCGACCATCAGTAGGCGATCCAGGTGAAGTGTCTTGCCAAAGGACATAACATCACTGAAAGTAGGAGGCAGGGCTTGGAACCGATAACCCTCCAGTTAGCTAACTCCTTCATCGGATGCCACACAGTGGCGTATGAGTGACAAAACATACACAGCTTTCGTCATTAGAAACTACTGTCCTGTGCTGACTGTCAGTTACTGTAACCACTAATCAACTTGATTTTACACACATAATGAAAACCCTCTGTATTTAAATTTCAAAATTATCTTTTGTTTGAATTTGATGTTTGAAATAAAAGCTTTTAATAATAGTCGTATCTGTGTTTGTGAGAACTTATAAGAGTCGAATCTATCAGTTTTATGAAGCCAATGTAAAAGAACATGAATAGAAATTTAACTCAAGTAAGGAGATCAGAAGATAGATGATCAAAAGAACACATGTCTATAATACTAGCTGATTTTGATAAATTCAGTATTAATCTACAAATAAAAATAACTTATTTATGTCTGTGGAAATATTTTCTTGTAAAAAATATCAGCGTGTCAACTCCCTGTGCTCACAGCCATATAAATCGAAGCTACAATATCAAACGTTACACTTTTTATTTTGTTAAGTTGTAAAAAACATTCAAATTGAAACAAAAATAATCTGTTTCCCATCCTATCTTACTTTACAAAACTGTACAAAACAAAACCAAAAATAAATGTTCATCTTCTCTCCTTTGACCTCAGAAATTTCTGTTCTTATTTATGCCAATTAAAGCATGATTTAATCTTTAAGTAAACATCCTCATGTTGATTTTTATCAGGGAAATATGAACAAAAATCGCTGAAAGGACTCAGCCTGTGTGGCAGCACGATGGAAAGCAAAAATTCAATAGCTTTGTACAGCATTCACAGTGTTATCAGTCTTATCAATGATCAGGATATTTGTACAGGAAACTCCTCTAGAGATTAGGACTATATACATCAGAGTGGTACTGACTTAGTGCCCACTGTGAGCTGTGGACTGCACAAAATGTAAAACAATGAACAGTTTATATACATGAATAACAGTGAGGTGATAAAAACAGCAGATAAATCCCATCCAGCTCAGACGTAAGCGTTTCGTCCATAAGTGCTGGCTGCTGCACTCCTGCTTGGTGCAGCTCCAGAGTACACGGTTCCTCTGCTCTGATAAGGCAACGGGCTGCAAAAAACAAAAACAAAATACAGTTGATGGTTGTGAGTAATGCACTGTACGTCTTTAGAGGAATAGATGTACACACTGTTCTTGTTTTTGTTTTGCAGAAATAGACCTATCAACTGGTTGGTTAAAAAGGTTAATCTTTATGTCTTCAGATAAAGGGCTGTTACCAAAATGTCCTGTATAATAATTTTTTTCACCACTCTGCTGGATAGTTAGCGTGAGGCGTTGGGCTCATGTGATGTTTTTGTTTTCTGAAAACTGGTCATTCTTCATTAAGATTGAAATGTCCACTGTTTCTGTCATATTGCTAGATTTAGAAATATTTCTCAGACCTTATTCTTCATTTAATGATTATATTATTAGTTGTTTTGAAATACCTGAACCTGACTGCTAAAGGCTCTTTTGAATTTCTATGAAACCTCCAGTTGGTATTTCTCTTACCATTGCATTAATTGGGTTAAGAAAAAAAAAAAAACATATTTCATGATGGATCTCTGACTTTCTCATTCTCCAAAACACTAGGTGGCGCTAAACGCTAGCGGTTTAGAGCCACTGTTTAACTGTCAGTTTAACTCTAGGTAGGGGTCAGATCTCTACAGCTTTAAACGCTACCTTTGTTTTTATTTTTTTTATCCACAAAATTCACTGATATTCTAAAAAAAAAAAAATAAAAAAAAAAAAATACTTTTTTTACTTAAAGGCCATTGGAAAGGTGGATTTAACATTTTTTCTGTTTGACTTGAAATCTACAGATACAGATTGCATTTTTTGTTACTTTATGTCAGCCTGTTGAAAACTATGTGAGTCATTTCTTTATTTAGTATACTTCTTTTTTTTCCTTTTTATGAAATAATATAAGGGTACTTAAAGGTATAGTGGAGGATTTTCTTAAAATTTTTGAAAAGACTCGCCCTCTCTGCTTTAAAAAAAAAAATGCACATGCACAACCCTGTACCCTCTCCCGAGAGGAAACACCCATTATACACGAGTGAGAGCGTGCACGAGCCCATTTCTCCTTGTGCATGCTCTGTTTAAAAGGTGCTGTTCTCATCGATCATACAGCTTAATTTCCAAAAGAAGATTTGCAATTTTTCCGCTGCATCAGACTCACCATAGGTCAATGAAAATGGGGATGAGCACGTAGGACGTCCTAGTATCACCAGAATTATTGACAGTTAGGAGGACCACTTATTTTGATGCTCCACCCAGAAAAAGAACATCCTCCACTATACCTTTGACTGGACATGTTTGAATCATAGATGTTTGTTTCTTTTCAGTAGTAAAACTAACCAAATATGATGGAATACTATATTTACTTTTCTTGTTTTTAAGGGCCAAACAAATGAAAAAAACTTTTTTCATGTATTTCAACATTACAGAAACCTTTCTGCGGTGTTGCCATAAATTCTAATTGGGTTTTATTGTTCTGTGTTTGTTAAAACGTTGCCTCAAACCTCCAGAAAAGATGCCCTTCATAGGATAATTCACAATGTTATGCCAAGTAGACAGCCATTCAAACATGCTGGTCTATCTTTAGGCAATAAAAGAAGCTATGATTTAAAAAAAAAATTTGCTGTTAATCAACAACGCATTGGTCGATGGCCTAGTCAAAGTGCGATTTCATACTTAGCAGATACCTGTTTTTTCAGCTGCACTGAATGTTAAAAAAAAATGAAGTGGAACTCACTATTTTTCCTCTCTGCCTATTTTGCAAGAGCATGTGAGGCAGGCTCCTCCGGCGATGGCGAGCACAGCCGAGCACCAGCCGATGTAGAGTCCTTCTCCTATTTCATACCTAAGACAGGGAAAGCAAACCATCAAACCACGCTCTGTCTAAAAGTTCAGCTATGTAACCGTTAAACACCTCCTCTGTAGCACCTTACTTTGTTCCCGGGTAGAAGGGGTCAAAGAATTCCTGGGTGATATTGAAGGCATACCACGATACAGAGACCATGGTGCAAAGGCCTTTTCATAGAATATAAAAAAAATCATTAGAGAGCCGCCAGACTATTAAACATTGTTCTTTAAGGAAATCAGTGAGAGCAATATGAAAAAATTATGTTAAATGCCATAAAACCTGATCCAGAGTTATTATCTTTTTAGATAAGTTTCTTTATCTCCACTTTTTATAGAGCAGCGGATCAAGAGTGTCATAATCAGACAGCAGTTTTCTTGGAAGGACATTATTAAATATATTTATTTTGTTGGAGGTTTTACTACCTTGCAGCATAAAAAGCACCCCGGAGGTGCCTGCAATCCTCCCTTTGAGAACATAGTTTTCTCCTCCTGCCTTCGAGCACTGGACTCCTATGAGTGCCCCCACCAGACCAAAGGTGCCCAACACTATGGATGCAATCATCAAGGCACGGGAAGCCTGGATGTAACCTTAATGAATAAACCAGAAGAAAAGAAAAAAAACAGAGCAAATTTAGTCCTGATTCCACGTGGTGCTACGGAGGAAAGTTTTATAGTTTATTTTTTATAGTTTCCTCACACCTATAAAATCTTCTTATCATTTAACGTCTACATCTCATTACATAAATTTTTTATATAGATCCTTTGAAATAAAAGTAACTGGTAATGCGAATTAGCAGAGTAAATATCTGCCGCTGCATCTTTTTAAGGTAAAAAAACAACAACCTACCACTCAAAGCAAGCAGTGAGGGGAACTCCCTGCAGTTGTGGACCCCAGTGGAATCGGTGGCGCAGGACATCCACAAGTTTTCATATATGGTGGAGGTGGTGATGACGTTCCCATCTACCGTGGATGTCTTCCAGTAACGATTCGGCAGCGCCACCCCAACCATCACCCACCCAACAAACCCCAGTATCAAAGCCACTACTTCCACAATTGGATCCATGACAGCCTCCTTAAGTCCAACTTTTAGGGTAATAAGAAAACAAAGACAGATACTCAGATCCACGTATGTTTCTTGCTTGTCTCGAGGGAAAGAAATGAGCTCCCAAATGAGTGAGTTCTGCTGACGATAGCTTGTGTGAGATGTGTGTGGGTCCTTAGATATGTATAATCATTTATATGACTGCCTGTTTCTCCTCCCCCTACCCTCTCCCTCTGTCTTCCTCTCTCCCACACACACACACACACACACACACACACACACACACACACACACACACACACACACACACACACACACACACACACACACACACACACCAACTCACACACCCTATCTCCTTTTTTTTTTTTATTTTACACCCCTGAAACTGAACAGGTGTTTATCGGCTCACTCTCAAGGTCCAATGGTCGACACTCAACCTTAATGTCTTTTTTTTTATTTTATTTTCCCTCTAATATGTTACTTTTCACCTGTAGGTGAATATTTACGTTGATGACTTGCTGATTTTTATCGATGTTATCAAAACAACGAACAGGTTTCCTTTTGCATGATTTTTTAGGGCAGCTTGAACAATCAAACAAATATTATCAGCAATAGTTGATACTCTGCTATTTTGTGTTCCTTACACAGACCAAATGTTGTGCTTTTTTTGGTGTTAAACATGTAATTCACGATAAGGTGTGGTTTCAAGAGGTTCTAGAATGGTTTTATTGAATCGATTTGAACATCTCAAGGCCACAGGACAAGAGGACACATTCACCTAGTGTCACACCCAGCTTTTAAGAACAATGTCATCACCTAAGCGGAATAATCTGGAGGCATAACATGTCGCCATGTGGAAAATCAAAGTTCCCACTTTTTTAGTACATCTTGTCATTTCTCTGTTTGTTGAAGGTCATTAATAACACTGAGTGTGGGGCCTCTGGGTCAGCGACAGCAAATCCTCCCCATGCTTTTAGTTGACCTGGTTGATAGTATTAAAGATAAATGTTAACCTGTATTTGAGACTGAGGTGTCAAACGTGTAGAAAGATTTATAACGAGGCAAACTCATTTGTTTAAAGGTCGACAACAAGGATCCAAAAATAGACCGTCAATAAAGCAGGGCTGTACTTTTTCTTGGTCAAGTTTCAGGAAAGAAAATTTCTTACTTTTTTATGTCAACATGTTTAAGTTAGTGACCAGAATAGAATAGAATAGAACAGAATAGAAGAGCAAAGAATAGAAATATACTGTAATTGTCCTATAATCGGAACATTCTGGTGTAACAGAGGCAAAAACAAGTTGACCGGGAGAAAGCTTACAGGTACAAAGAGGACTAAATATATGAAAATAAGACAGTTTAAATGAGATAAGAAAAGTTAAACTACATTAAATTACATTTAAAATTGTTTTTTGATTATTATCTGTGTTAACTTGTTTTTTTTTTCACATTCACATTCAAGGAGTCATTTGTCTTTTGCTAAGACATATTTATTTTTTTATTCAGCAACTCAATAAAAAAGTAATAGAGAAGAACATAGTTATAACACACAAAGTCATGAGATCACAGGCCACGGAAATGATTTCACCTCTTGTAGTAAAGGGTTTTATATTCAAATATTTTTCCATATCTCCTGCATTAAATCCACATGAAACCACTTTTATATAGCCCTGCTCACCATTATTGGCACCCCTAAAGTTTAAGTACATATAATGGAATATTTCCTGAAGGAAATTCATCAACTGAAAAAACGTTTTACTGCTGATAGCTTGTGCTTGATGCAAAACAGCAAATGATAAAACAGATTTAAAAATATAATCACTGGGAGGAAAACAAAGAAAAACCTAATGTTTACCATGTCAATGGTATTGACACTCTTTGCTGCAAATCAGTATCAAAACCAAATTGGGCTCACCTGTTGCAAATCACAAATGAAGATCACTTGTGATGAACTGCCTCCACACATGTGACATGAATTAACCAATAAACGATCATGTAGGTACTTTAAAAGGCACCTGTTAGTCCATCTTCACATGTGACAATGGTAAAGACAAAGGAGCTGTCTGAGGACACCAGAAATCTATTATTTGTAAGCACAAGAACTCCAAAGGGTATAAAGCCATCTCCAAAGACCTTGGTATCCATGTTTCAACGGTACCTTATGTTATTAAGACGTTTTCGCGGCATGGAACTGTCAAGAACCTCCCTGGACGTGGGTGGAAGAGAAAATTTATGACAGAAGTCTTCGACGGTTGGTGCGAATGATGGAAAAAACACCACGTCAAACATCTAAAGAGCCATCCTGGAGCAGTCTGGTGTGATTGTTTCAGCAAGTACCATACGCCGCACACTAAACAGAGGCCAAAGGAGACCCTGTTGCTAAAGAAAAGACATAAAAAAGAACAAATGGTCTTTGCAAAAGAGAACCTGGAGATGAAACAAAAGTGGAGCTTTTCGTTAATTCACACCAACAGTATGTTTATCAGCGGCGTAATGAGGCCTTTAAAGAAAAGAACACCATACCAACAATCAAGGATAGTGGAGGATCCATAATGCTGTGGGGCTGCTTTGCGGCATCTGGTACTGGAGGCCTTGACCGTATCACAGGCATCATGAAATCAGAGGATTATCCAGAAATTCTAGAGTGAAATGTCTTGCCCAGTGTAAGAAAACTTGGTTTGAGGCAAAGATCCAGGGTCTTCCTGCAAAATAATGACCCAAAGAACACCTCCAGAAGCACGCAGCATGGTTGAAAGAGGAAAAAAATGGCTGTTTTAAAATGGCCAGCAATGAGTCCTGATCTCAATCCAATTAAAAATCTTTGGGTAGAGCTGAAATCTGCTATTGCAGATTGCAAAAGAAGAGAGAAGTGCAAGAAGCTTATGGAGGCTGTCATTGCTGCCAAAGGCTGTGAAACCAAATATTAGAGAGGGGTGTCAATATTAGTGCACATGCTGGTTTTCTGTTTTGTCCTTTGGAATGAAAATATTTGTGTTGAAATGGTAACTGTTTTTGTTCAATTATTTTGGAGTTTAAATGGAAAGATCTTGCTGATATAACTTTTGAACATTTCCATTTATTTCTGAAGATATTCACTCAACTATGCCAAACATGAAGGGGTGCCAACGATGGTGAGCAGGACTGTATGAGGGTCTGTTACGGTGAATCTTGGTTTTTAAGATAAATACTGCTTTTTCAGGTAAGGGAAGAAGACTGAGCTTTAGAAATTAGTGTGGCATGCTTTGTGAAGTTGTTCTTTAATTTAAAAACTTGTAGTGAATTTATTTTTAAAAAACACAAGAACATTTCCCACACATTCTGGCCTTTTCCTAAATATAAAGGTCTAACAGTTTTTTTTACCCAAAAAAAGTACTAAGTTAGCATTAGATAAAACCATTCTATATTAAGAGAAAAAAACAAGAAAGAAAGCAATATTTCTATTTCTATTAAGTTGAATATTTAAATATGTACACAATACAAGGCTAATGCTATCTGTTCCTTTAAAGATGCACTTGCATGTATTTCCCTTTACTTACACTCTGACAAAAAAAACAAAAAAAAAACAGGGCAGGGCAGGGTTGAAGTTTTTGCCAGCAGGGTTTTGAAAGATATGACTTATTTTTATTTGAGTGTGCTTTGAGGTCAGGTGATCAGCAACAGCAGAAAGCAAAGTTAGAAATTGCAACACAGGGAGGTGAAAAAGTATTTGCTCCCTGACAGATTTACTTTATTTTTGCTAAAAAAAAAAAAAACATGTTTCAAATCATCAAACAAAATTAAACACTGCAGGACCATAACCAGAGTAAATACAAGAAAGCTGTTTAAAATAAGCATTTTTATCTATTCTAAAGGCTATCCAAACAGGAATGTGTAAAAGTTATTGCCTCCTAAAGCTAATAGCTGTTTGTTTCACCCTTGCTGGCAGAGACATTAAAATATTTGTCAGTCTTTTTTAACACCTTTACATTTATATGATGAGTAGCTTCCAAATGGTAAAAAATAATTTTTTACACGTACACGTAAATAAATAATAAATCAGCTTGCAAAATTGTTCACACCTATTTTAGAGAATTACTTTGAGAACAAGCTTGAATGCAGAAACAGTATTCACAATGTTATTGTGACATTTCAATAATATTTTTATCAAACAGAAAAAGGGTAAAGGTTAAAGTTCAACGTCCTACCGGAACCTAAACATACAGGCAGAGCTACGATGCAATGGTTTAAATTATAGCATATTCTAGTTATAATGGTAGAGTTAGGGTTAGGAGAAACCTGAACATTGATGCAACCATAGAACTATGGGTGTCAAAAGTACTAAAAGTCTTTACTGAAGTAAAAGTACACATGCCTGAGTGAAAAAAGATTCATTTAACTCCTGTATTTAAGTGAAATAAAAACAACATGTTCTACTTTTAAATAATGAGAAAAAAAGTTGAATTAAGACGTTACTTCAATTGATACAAAATAACTTTTAATAACTATTCATTAAAAAAGCTCCACGCACAAAAATAGCTTTATTTTTCCTCCTTTGCTCACTTTTCATGGAAAAAGAAAATAAAATACTGACTAGGTCTATTTTTGTTCTAAATCAAAATTTAACACAGGTTAATATAGATTGAACTGAACCTATGGGGCCAAAA